TACTTACAGAAAATGATAAAATCTATAAAAATGGTTGTTGTGACCATGTACAAAAATATAAGAAACTTGAGTGCTTGTGTTGGAAAGAGGAGGAAAGTTGGGATGTGTAGTTAGCCACACTTTGAGAGGGGAGAGGCGGGATGGGCAAGAAGAAGGAGAAATAGAAGAAGAGAGTGTCAATAAAGTGGGTATATATTCTGGTGACAATGCCATGTCATTGTACGGAGATCCCGGTTTGAACCACTTGATCATTTCGTTGGTAAAATCGTCTAAACAAAATCTACATCATCATTCTGTTACAACTTTTCAAAAAAACTACATAATCCATTGGTGATACGGTCAGTATGTACCGATGGATGTATTCCGTCGGTATCGAAATATACCAACTGTATCACTGACATGTATTGTCTGTCGGTATATACCAATAAAATTGAAAATTCATCGATAAAGATTACCGATGAAAAAAATTTGTAAGTAATTCCGTTGGTTATCATCGATTTTCTGGTAATGGATTGCATACATAACGTGAACTACTTTTCACATTTTGTAAATAATTCACTTATTTGGTGGGATGGACCTGATTTGGCCTAGCCTAGATGGTTGGGCCTGTTCCGACCTGCCCCTAAAAAGAAAAAAAAAACATTTGTTAGGCCAAGATGCCCAACCCAATCATTTTTTGACTGAGTTTGATCTGATTAGTGGGGCCAGTCCGACCCACATATTTATTATAATATTATATATTTATATTTATATATTTAAAAAAATTGAAAAATCATTTCAATTTTTTTTTATTTTCTCAAATATTTTCTCTATTAAATTTGCATAATATCGGGTTGTATATTTACATTGTAAAACACAAATCTAGTATTAAAATACACAACCTTCTCCAAAATATTTCAAAAAAAAAATCAAAAACTTTAAAATTAATTTCCCTTTAAAAAAATATTTCATTTTCATGCATACGACCAAATTCTAAAAACTTTCCAAGTATATTTTCATAAAAATTTGCATCTTTATCATGTTTTTAAAAAACAAAAAAAAAATAGATATCACAATCAGTTTATAATCATCCATTAGGGTTTGGTCAAAATATTGAAAATATTTTTCAATTTTTTTTAAGGTTTAGATGTAGATTTTAATACTTATGGATGTAAAACTACATAATAGAGTTTATTCTCATGTATTAAAGATACAACGTGTAAAAAATATGTTGCTAAAATTTAGACTTTAGAACGGTTATGATTTAATTTGATAACATAGAGATTCTCTCATGAAGAGAGATTTACCTTAGACTTTAAAAAAGATCAACGAATAGAAATCCGACCTAGACAAACAATCAAATAACAATGCAGTTTATCTTAGATAAGATGTATTGAAGGTGATGACACGACTAAAAGGTTGATGTCTTCTTCCAAGTGCAGGAGTGTCGAAGTAATAAATAACCCGGCAAGACCGGGGTCGAACCACAGAGAGGTTAATTGTACAAATTATAGACAACAATTATAAACAACAATAATAGTAATAACAATAATAATAATAACAATAATAATAATAATAGTAGTAGTAGTAGTAGTAGTAGTAGTAGTAGTAGTAGTAGTAGTAGTAGTAATACTAATAATAATAGTAATAATAATAACAATAATAATAAAGAAAAAGAAGGGGAAAAAGAAGATGATGAGAACTTTAAGATGAAATATTAATGTAAAGATTAAACAATGATAAGAACAAATGTCAAGGTTAGAGATTCCACTAATGGTATGTCAAACAAGTATAATATAAACTCTTATTATTCAATTGGAAACCACACATAAAGGAGGTTCCAATCAGATTATAAATTGTTAACATGATTACATTAGTCATCTTATTCGATTAATGCTAATACTTGTAAATTTCATCAAGCATTCATGATTATAACTTATGTTAACAACAAATCAAGTTCCTTTCATAGCTCAGGTGTCGGTTATACCATACATTATGGGCTATGAAAGTGCCAAGCATTTGTTGTACCAAGTGTTATACAACATAAATCAAGATTAGTCATTTAACAAGCAAAGTATTAAAGAGTGAACAAGATAACAAATATAAAGCATGTTAGTATCAAACATTAAAGTCCATATTAAGTTTACATTATACTTATTCTTACACCATTAGTGTAACCTTTTCACCTTGGCATAACTAACTTAGCTAGACATAATGAAAGAAAGCAAAATAGATAAACAAAATAAGAACATGAAAGTTAACTAAGTAAAGGAAAGGAAATGAAAGGCATAAACTTCATATTAATGAAAGCAAAGCATAAACATTACAAAAAATACAAAGAGAGAAAGGAAGAGCATGATCTTGATCTGGAAACCAAGATGCCTAAATGCATGCCAAATGCCTTCTTTTATAGGCCAAAATTGGGAACTATTGATTTGATGACTAATTGATAAGTGGGTGGCCAACTTTTGACTTGGTGACAATCCTTATCTTCTCTTGTCTGCCCAAAACGTCATTGATAATGTCAAAATTGGAGCCAGTTGCAAACAGGAAAGTTGTAGGAAATTGTCTCAGCTTTCTTGTGTAAAACATTCAGCTCATTTGGACTTCTAGAACTCCAGATATGGCCAAAATACCGAACAGTGCTCGGGCTGGAAGACAGATTCGGGCTTCTTTGTTGTTGCTACAATTTGGACTTGATAATGACGTTTTTAGATCTTGGGCTCCATATGAAAGTTGTAGGCCTATGTCTTACCTTTTTATCCATATAAATTGGACCTAAATCTGAGATATATAGCTCTAGATATGACCCAATTACCGAACAATGTTCCGGTTTGAATTGCACTGACATCTTTTTTCTAAGTTTGGTCATCTCTTTGCCTTTACAATTTAAGTTCTTAAAGTCATCAATCAATATGTTCATTTATGTGATAGGCCTGCATTTAAAATGAACATTTACCATAAATTAAAGGTATCTTATATTATTAGATATATTATTATAAAACATGCTTTGGTTAAGGAGTTATTGATACTTCAAGTGCAAAATGATTATAAAAAACCATGATAAAAATGCACTTTTAAGTACTAATCAGGTGACGTATCTTTTCCTTGCACAACCAATTTTTTATTTAGATTCTCACATACTATAGGTTTTAAGTACCTATAATACTAAATAACAACTCTTAAATATTAATTATAATTTTATAATTAAATTCAAAAACCTTTTTATAATTAATTTTATAATCTCATTAGAATACATGAAAAAAAGCCTGCAACCCCACGACAACGACCACTGCTGACTATCCTTTGACTCACTCTCTAATGTATTTTTCCTCACATTCTCGGCTCTGCACTCTAGCCCTTTTATTCTTCTTTCTAAATGGTATCTCTAATTATAAGCTTTAATGATAGCTTTTCCTGCATTTTTGTCAATTACCACCAAGAAGTTGTAGGAAGATACAAAACAAGGAAAGAAAGCCCACACTTCTTTTCTGTTATTAGTCATTCATATATATATATATATATATATATATATTTCAGGTAACAGCAGATATAAGATTACAAATTTATATTGCTATGATCAATCACAGGAATTCTGCTACCATATCTCGGCTGTGATTGATTGTTATTTTACGAGAACCCATCATTGCAGCTTATTTTCCTTTGATAATGACAACCATTCTTTTCTAGAGAATACACTGCGGATGCTTCTTTGATAATGAATGGTGCAGTCCATTACTACTTGCTGCGCATGGCAACAATCCAGCCATATTAATAGCAAGTGCCTGTCTAGACGAAGGACAAGGTCGTTGTCTTGAAGCATTGTACTGATCAGGGGCAGAGCAAGAAAAAAAATAATAAAAAGAATCAAATTAAAAAAATATTTTAAAAAGATTAAAATTTAAATTATTTTGCTACTAAAATTATAAATATTAGAAGGGAGGGGCTGGAAAAAACATTTCCGCAGGCCCCCGCCTCCGCCACTAGTACTGACAAATGATATCCATTGATTGCAAGAAGTGTAAACGTTTCTCATGTCTCCAGTACTGTTTAGTCGCGGTGTTGTTTTTGGGCACGTTGGGGTCCATGCCACCGGCACGTAGAACACGTTCACAGAGGGTGGCTGTTTCTTCTTCACGTCTGCCTTTTGTGTCTATGCTTGTTGACACTGACAGACGAGAGTATTCAATGTTTGTACTCGCTTTCCTCGATGGACATGTATATTTTAAACTTTTTCCTTCTCCATTTAAAAAAATAGAACAAATGGAGTGTTTCTTTTTTAATTTTAAATCATAGAATAAAAGATTTAAAGCCCTATTAATTTAAAGAAGACCTTATTAATTATATATATATATATATATATAATCCGAAATACACAGTGTAGGCAATGGATAGTTGAAGTTTTTTCAAGGGAGAGTGTGTTGGCTTTGAATGTCTGAGGGCTCATTCGGTGCCACAAGATGAAAGTTTCGGAGCCGAAAAAAGACAGATATTTTGGGGACAAAGAAAGAAAGAATCCTCCTTTTCATTTGTTAAATAATATTTATATAATTTTATTTATTAAAAATAAAATAATATTTTTAATTTAATCTATATATATTTTAATTAAAATTAAACATTCATAGTATACAAATTATTTAGAATTTTAATCTTTATTTTAATATAATATCAGAATTGGTTTTATAAAACGAAATTTAATCCCAATGCAGCTTATAAAATATTTTTTATAAAATATAAATAATTGAATTTATAATATTTTAATTAAAAACATTAATATATTTTATTTTTAATTATTTTATAATAAAGATATATTTTATCAAACCTAACACAACTAAAAATTATAACAGCAGTTTACCTCTTGATTTAACAAAAAGAGAAGAACGGACATAATTTTCTAGGTTTAAAATCTATACGTATATAAATCATATATAATTATTAAAGTGTCTCAACTTTTTAGCATGAAGATTGTTCCACAGTAAAGAAAGGCATATAATTAGAACAACAGATACAGATACAGATATAGATGAATGCTTTTATCTTTTAACAGTAAGAGGGTTGAAGTAAACTACAAGAAAACATAAAAGTGGACGAGCCATGTCCATGGGCATGCCTGATCCAGCTTCCATGTTAACCTTGGCCTAAGCTCCCTGTCTCTTAACCTTCCAATCAAACACTGAACCAGGGCTGCAATTACAGTTTACATCAAGTCATAAGCCACCATTGTCAAATCTATTGATTTTGCTGGTTTTTGATTTTTATACCGACACTATAAACATAAGTTGACCGCAGGTCAACTCGTGATTTGAACAGTATTGCATGAAAACACACAAATCAGGTGCGATACATCTTGTTTTAGAACAAATACCATAGAAGCACCAAAACAGTCAGTTTCTCAAGCGTCGGTTTGGTTTAACAGCCTCTAAACCCCATTAGCTGGAGGTGAAGAATTTTGATGCGTAGTTGCAGCACCTTCAATTTCTATATCCCTCACACCAGTGGTTAATGATGAAGTGCCCTCCTTCTCATCACCATTTTCTTCTTCTTCATCCTCCAAGAAAGAACCCTTCCACCTTAGTTCCTTCACTTTCCGGAACTCATCATAATGTGCTCGTCTGTGCTCCCTAAAATTTGAACTCCTATCCGTTTCAGAATCTGACAACAGAGGAACATAAAAAGTTCATAAAAGTCATGCTAGGTAATGATATGGTAAATGCAAAACAATTAAAAACTACCATAAAAATGAGGGAACAAAGGAAAAAAAGCACAGGTTGCCTGCTCCAAATTTGCATAATGTTTATTTATATATAATGGTGAAGGCGAAATCCTAACCAAAGAGAACTCATATACATTCCTCAGCTTCAAATGAGATGATTGACGGAGTCTTAAATCTTATGTCTGTTAAACAAACTTCTGAGGAAAATTGGACGAAGAAGCAAACAGATCCCTTCTCAACTTGCAACTGCACAAGAGAAAGGTCCAGCATTTTGCGCAGTCACTTCACGCAAAAGTGCAGATGAATAGTACTTCTCCCAATTCTCTCTCAGAATCCCATTTTGATGGGATTGAAACAGGAAGATGGCATGCCAGTGCAATAGTAAATGCAATAATACAATGTTGATTTGAAGATTTTATGGTTTGTCTTTACAATCCAAGAATTTAAGTTTAAAGTAAAAATCTTCTACTTGGAGCAAAGATGTAATGGATAACCTTCTTCATCTTGTTCCATAGGATCAACCTCATCCTCTGAGGAGGTCCAGCCACTAGATCTTCTAGATGGGTTTCTACTTGAGGAAGCCATGATATCCAATGCAGTCCTCAATTCTTCGGCACGCATTGTATCCTCAGCAACCTCATTAAAGCTGCTGCCCCTCCTCGGGGAAAGAGAATCTATGATAAGAAAAAAAAAAAGCCACAAACATTCAGTTAGGGTAGGGAAGATGGCATAGTTTTACTGATAAAAATCAATGAGCAAACAGTGATTACTATCCAAACTTTTAAAGCAGCAAATTTCATGACAAAGCTTTTTGCAGAATCCAGAAATGTAAAGGAGAACTTGAACCAAAAACTTGGGAAACACCAGACAAAATTCAGCTCATGAAGACTTGACCACAACATTCGTGCTCTTAAGGGTTAACACCAGCAAAACACAACTGTACTATTGACGCACATTCAAAGACAAGTAAATACAGTTTGATAGGGTATTGCAGAGAAGTGAGAAATCAGCATACCATCATCAACATCAATCATGGGGTGATACGGGGTCTTGGGTTCAGTGATTTTCTGCCTCTCAGGCTTATTTGCTTCGATCTCCCCCAGATTATCCTCATCCCATTTTACTCGTCCTCTAGTACTACAAATACAAAACAACATAAACATCACATCAGAACAACTCACAACTACATAAAACATACACGTAAACTAAACCAAAACGATAACATAAAGCACTGAGAAAAAATCATACTACGAACCCCATTTCTCCATAAAATTTCTCAACAATCAAAATACTCCCAAAGACCCACCAAATGTACACTGGACAAACAACTCCCACAAAACGTGTTCCATCATCATTACAGAAAAATCCCAAGCCCGAAACCCAAAAACCAAAACCCAGTTTTCTTTAAATAACATAAAAACAACACAAATGATTAAAGAAACATCCATAGATGGTTAAAGAAAACAATACCCATTTTTTTGTTTTTCCAAGATATTTGAGAATACTAGCATGCAAGAATGCAAGCAAGAGAAGGCTGAAAAATTACTTCATCTTTTTGGTGGCTATAAAGCAGCTGCGGATTGATCTGATTCAACAAAGACAAAGCAATTTGTTTAATTCTTGATAAAATCATATTAAACATAAGGTTAAATAGTAGAACAGATCATTAGAATTAAAAAAAAAACAAAAAAATTAAAATTTTCTTTCTAGGTTTAGAAAAAATGACAGATTGTGCATGATTTATGAAAATTTAATTGTAATGAAGCAATGATCAAGGGAAATTATCAACAGAAGAATTAATAAAATTGATTAGAATAATTAAATTGCAAGGAATGAGAGAGCGAGTGAGAGATTATTACCAGTTTGTGAAATGTTCTGCTGATTTTGTTCTGATAGCAATTTTTTTTTTATTGCGCTTTCCGGCCTTCGCTTTTGTTGACTCTGCTTTTGTTTCCTAGTCTACCCTTTCTGACACTTAACGGTGTGTTTGGGATTTGGATGAGTTGAGGGATAGTTAGGGTGTTTGGCTTGTTTTTTGGACTGTACTTTTAAAACATCTTATTTTTTATTTTAATTAATTTTTTAATGTTTTTTTATTATTTTGATATCAAAAATAAATTTTAAAAAAATAAAAAATATATTATTTTAATGGATTTTTATACAAAAAAAAACACTTTGAAAAATATTATCTATCACAAGCTAAAACACACTTTTTGTGAATGTATTTGGATTAAGTTTAGGCTATAATTATATTTAATCAATTTTTTTTTATGTTTTACAAATTATAACTCAATCTATTCAATTCCTTTTATATTTGAGTAGGTTAGGTATATCATGTTAGGCTAATTTTTTTATGAATATTATATATATCCACGGGTTAGGTTTATTTTATAAATGTCATAACACTTTTAATATTTAGTCTAATTTTTATACTTTATAGAACTATTAAATTCTAGTTACCCTTTTTTTTAACAAAGAAATAAGTTTTTTTGATGTTAAAAAAATTTAATAGGAAGTTCCCTTACAAGAATTTTAGAATTAAAATATTTTTAAATAAGATAAAAAAATAAATCTTAATTTGTAAACTATCAAATATATATATATAACTCTCTCTCTCTCTCTCTCTCTCTCTACACACACACACACACACACACACACACACACATATATATATATATATATATATATATATTTGATTTTAATAGAGTAAAACGGATCAGATAATACAAATATGGATTTTTTAACACCCGGAAGGAAGCATTAAGGAAGCTCTTTGGGTAGCCCTCCTTCAAAATCATCCAAACACGACCTATTATTGAGGAAGCCCACGAAGAGGCAATCTGAGAAAATCCCAACTGTCCTAAGGCATGAAAGAAAAAAAGAAAGGGAAAAAAATCTGAATATATAAATAAATTGACAATCAAAAACTAAAAACAAAATAAAAAATAGCAGAAGCCCACAGAGTTTGTTAGTTAAAAGAAAGAAAGAGGAAGCTCTCCGAAATCGCATGCAGATTTAAGCAGGAGCAGATCAGAGCAGCAGCTACTACTCTTTACATGTATGTGTCTTTGATTATTTCCATGACGTATTTAAACAGTTATTTTTTTCTTTCCTTTTTCTGAATAATACAGGACCTGACATGATCATATATATACATATATATGTATATATATGTATTATCTGGGTTTCAGTTTTTGTTATGTTTTTGTGATTTTCAATGCTAAAAAGCAACTGGGATTTTCTCACTTTCAAGCTTGTGTTCGGTTTCGATTGTGGATTGCTTTTTCTTTGATGGTTTTTGAGATGGGATCTTGAGATTTACTTGTAATTCAATTTTTTTTTGTATTTTCTAATTCAGATCGTGATTTTAATCAACTTTTTTTGGTTGTGGAAGATGAAAGTTCAGATTTTTTTGTGATGTAATAAGAAGGAAAAGGATATTTGTTTTTGTAACAAGTATGAGGAAAAATGTTTTTGTAACAAGTCAATGATCACGAGCAGAGATTAGTGGTGTGTTGGTGGCCAATATGAGGAAAAATGGAGAGCGCCTGGTGGAAAGATTAATTATCTGCCGAATTCCCATTTTGTCAACAGTGATATTTGAGTGTGTTGAATAACTTTTCTGGCTATTAGAAACTGAAATCAAATGATAAATAATACATATATAGAAACAGCATCACGGATAAAGCAGATTGAGTTGGATTTCTCAATAATGTGGATTATTTCTCTTTGTTTTTCAGGATTGTTAATTGACAAGCAGTAGAGGAATCTGTTTAAAATTGTGAAATCTTGATTCTTTGAGACTTGAATATTAGAAGGAAGAAACGAATTGATAAGATTAGACAACACAGAGATGTTCTCGTTGTTTTATGGCCTTTGGAAGTATATATTTAGTAAGACAGAGTTTCATGTGCTCATTCTTGGAATCGACAAGGCTGGGAAGACGGTAATGCTTCTTTTTGCCTCATTAGTTGAATTCTTCTTAAGCTTTACAAATTTTTCATCTCTTCATTTATGTATAGCTGCCAGAAAGTTCACTTATTGTCAATGATTTGTATGTGAATTTGTAGACATTGCTGGAGAAATTGAAGTCAGTGCACTCGAATTTGGAAGGCCTTCCTCCTGATCGAATTATTCCTACTGTTGGACTAAATATTGGTCGTATTGAAGTGGCAAATTCAAAACTGGTGTTTTGGGATCTAGGAGGTCAGGTATGTGAAATTCATAAAAAATCAACTTTCTGAAACTATCTAAAATCTATGTAGGTGGGAATTTCATTTAATTTACTTTGGTAAGGCTTAAGTGTTTTTTCCTACTTTGTGGTTGAGCCAATTCAATTGCATTGTAGGTGCTCTGCTGAACAGCAGGATTTGATACCAGATTTTAAATCCTCGATCTTGTGTAAAAGAAAAATATTACAATTGTACATTATGCCACTCTTCTTCTTGTTAATTAAAAACAATAGAATATTATGCATAAGCTCGCACTAGTCATTACTACAGCTGTTATGTGAAATGGGCTACACATAACATGAGATTTCAGTTAGATGAGTGATTTTATTCCTTAGTTTTGCTTTTTTATTTGATGTATAACACTGTATATGCATCATGCTCAGTTTTTGAAGTGTTTTTTACATAATTTTCTTGTTAGCCTGGTCTTCGCTCAATTTGGGAGAAATATTACGAAGAGGCACATGCTGTGATTTATGTAATTGATGCTGCTTGCCCATCACGTTTTGAAGATGCAAAATCCGCGTTGGGTAAGTGACATTCTATGGTTAAACTGGGGGAAAATATGCTGCTGTATGATGCGGCTGCAGTTTTAATAGTAGTGAAGAGCTTATTATTGGTAATAGAAGGATGCACTGATACCTTGAACTATTTTAACAGAAAAGGTTCTTAGGCACGATGATCTGCAGGGAGCCCCTCTTTTGATATTAGCAAACAAGCAGGTATAACCAACTGCACCTCTATTGGTGCAAAGAATATGCATCGTGCTACTTGCTGATCTTTCATATTATTAAGCAAAATGAAAGTTTTTGTTTCTTGTACATCAAATTAATGGCAGGATCTTACTGATGCTGCATCAGCAGAAGAGCTTGCTCGATATCTAGACCTTAAGAAGCTGGATGAAAGGGTTTACATTTTTGAAGCTGTTTCAGCATATGATGGGTAAGTACATGCTATAACTTCAGGTTCATTCTGACAACCAATCTCAGTATCCAAACACCACATCACAGATTGATATTTGATTGCAGGATGGGGATCAAAGAAAGTGTAGAATGGCTCGTGGAGGTAATGGAACGAAGCAAGAGAACTGAGATGTTAAGAGCCCGTGCTGGTGTAACTGGCCCAGGTACTTAGAGACTGTCTGATGCAGTTGTTTCTCCTGCTTTTTGTAGCAGCTGTAAATAAACAGAGATTGGATTTGATTTTACACGACACAGAGTCCATCCATTTTTCAATCTCCCCTGCAGCAGCACACCTTCTTATCTACCAGCCCAGTGCCTGTTTTTTGACTGCTAAATGTTCAGAAGACTTTAATTCTATTCTTACACTGCAATGGAGCAAGTCAGAGGAGGGAGGACACTCCATATCTGCTAAGAATGATCAAGGTTGTTGGTGCATTATGTTACTGCATTTGCCTTTTGAAATGCTTCTACTACCAAAATTTAAAATAGCCGAGGTGCATTAATGTCCTCATATAAAGGTATTAGAGGAGTTCAAGATATCAATTGTTCCATTTTACCCAAGAATTCTAATTATTGTTCATAAATTGAAACCCACAAGATGTACTTAACAGATTCAAGTTCGTGGAATGTGTGCCTTGTTGGCTTGTTCTGTTCAATCTTAAGTGAGTTTCTCTTGGTTTTTCATGATGAGAACAACGTTAAGTTTACAAGAGACGCCTGATTATTTTACTTGATTACAGCCGGAGAGCCAGAGGGATATATATTCATAGAAAACCCACCTCAATAACGACTTGTAATGCTGAAAATTCATGTGTTTGAATCCAGATATAAGGATGCCAATATGAGAAGTTCAGATTTTCATCCTGGTAGAAAAGACATCTGATGGACAAGCTATAAAGGATATAAATCCACATTTCTAAGCTGTTCTTTATTCGAGAACGACTACACAGTAAAACGACAATGGGGTCTTGTATCAACTTGGCGAGGTCTGTCTGCAAAAGGGCATGTCTGCTTGCATCCTAACTAGTTTGGAACAGGATGGTCTGAAAAATATTAAAATAATATTTTTTTATTTTTTAAAATTTATTTTTAATATTAAACATATCAACCATCTAAAAATATAAAAAAAATAATAATTTAAAACTATTTAAACAAATTACAATTAGTAACAATGAAAATCTTGGAAAGTATAGGAGTAATATTAAGAAAGTTTCAAATATGGACAGAAGTAAAACCTTGTTGAACAAAGAGAAGTTGTGCGTTATTACTTCAGTTTATTTATTTATTTATTTATTTTTGAAAAATAACCCTGACCAAAAAAATTTGGTGAATTATCATATTTAAAAATTTATTTATAAAAATAATACAGTTGGTTTAGATATGCAAGTTTTATTAGTGTTTATAAATTAATCTTGAGACCCACAAGAGTCACATGTGGGATAATAGCATGTATAAATTTTTTTGTGACGCACCAACAGTTCCAAATATAGTTTTTATTAGTGTTTATAAATTAATCTTGTTAAAATCTTTCTAATATTTCTAAAAATATTATCATTGAATCTTTTGTGACGTCTCTCTCTCTTTCATTTTGTTTTCTCCTCTCTTCTCTCCTGCTTCAATTATTGTGCCAGCACTTTTCTTTTTCTTTTCTTTGCCGTTGATCTTCTTGCTTCTTCATTAACCGTTCGATCCAGCTACAAAATTTTGTTGACCATGCGAAATGTTCATGGAAAACACTCTCTCACAAGATTAGGTGCTAAAATAAGAGCAGTCCTGCATGTC